TGAGCTTTAAAAGCCTTAGTCAGACTGGGTATGAAGCACTCGGCCAGACCAAGCCTCAGCCAGACCAAGCATAACAAGTCTCAGCCAAACTGAGCACCACAATTCCAGGTCCAAACTGAGTTACTTGCAACGTCAGTAAATCACAGCTTAGCCCCAACTGAGCACGCATACTTGTGGCATTAGTAGACACACTTAGTCACAATTCCAGGTCTAAGTTTTTACACCACTTTTCACTTAGTCAAATTCCAACGACGTTCTTACATGTTTCCTTTACTAGTCAAATTATTTCTTTCTCCATCAACTTTTACAAGCCAACCTCTTTCCTTACTAGTCAAGCCTAACTCCAATAAACCATTCTCATCCACTTCAGCAGTGTGGCAAACACAAACTCATAATTTTATCACATTTTAAATTCCACTCTGCATTAAGGAGTTCTTAACCTTACTCTGCACTGAGTTTTTATTACAAGTTCAATTTCACTCTGCATTGAGGAGCCTTTAACTTTACTCTGCATTGAGTTTTTATTACAGATTCACTTCCACTCTACATTGAGGAGTTCTTAAATTTAGTTTTTATTACAACTTTACCTCCACTTTGCAGATGCACACAAGCCACCATTCTCATTCATTTCAGATGCACAAGCACAGACAATCGAATGAAAACATAACTGAAATTTTATTTATTCACAAATTTGTACATAAGTTCATTATAGTAATTCAAAAACAAAAACAAACACACAAAAACAACTCTAAGTACAAGGTCTTCTTCTTCTTCTTCAATTACTCATTCTCACTGGACACAAGGTCTTTTTCTTCAATTCCCTCATCTAGGGGGGTTTGGGCCACATTGTCGTCGTCAATTTTTACATTACTCAGGTCTAAGTCTGGGAACAGCTCCTCAGCTTTACGTTTGAACATCTTCCAACCACTGTCCCAGAACTCAGCCATTTCGTGTTTATAGAAGTCGGACCGCTGGAAGCTCTCAATAACTTCTGCCTCAGTCCTACCCCCAGCAGTTGTCCTCGACGGGCCCGCCCCCCAGACTCCTCCCTCGCCAAGCTGCTGGCGACCGCGGCATCAACTGCCATCTGAAATTCAGCAGACCCCTCAAAAAACTAAAATAAAATAAAAAAGAAGCACTCACCTAGGAGCAGAGTTAAGAGTGGAGGCCATGAAAACTCGGTGAGATCTGAGATTGCGAGATTGAGGGAGAGAAAATGATGAGAACTTGCGAGATTGGAAGGCCATTTGATTCAGTTTCAAAGCCATTATTGGATTTACTCACAAGAGAAGACTCGAGAGCGCCTCTGTTGATTTGGGTTTGGGTTTGGGTTGCTTGAGTTGAATGAACAAAACGAACTCACAAGGATGGAGGGAGGGAGAGAAATGCCAAGGGCGGGTAGAGACGGACATACGCAATCAATTTATTGGAACACGAGGGGGTTGGTTGTACAGGGACGGTAAGCCAATTAAGAGGTCGTTTCGTTGGTTGGCATTGGCAATCACAATTAAACTGTTTATTTCTGATAACTTGTCATATTATTATTACACAATGTTACAAACCTCCAAATATATATTTATATATATATATATATATATAATTCTTATAATTTTTACTCACCTGTGATTAGTTAAAAAGGAGAGAAAAAAAAAAAAAACTAAAAACACATGATTAATTCATATTGACGTGGGTAAGCCCATAGAGGCCATAGCCCACAATGAACAACCCAAGCCCATCACTTAGAGCCCAATACATAACCCAGTTGGTGAAGTCCAGAACAGCTGGAATCCAACGTGGCATAAAGAGCCAATGACATTCAGACATACGGCAAGTAAAGGACAAGCCACATCAGTAGACAAAAATCTGTAAAGTTATTGCCACTGCACATCACCATTAATGCAGCCCATCACAACATTTATTACGACAACACCTCTCCGTTGGAATAACACCCCCTTACCCTGAACAAGGTAAGCTACAGCATAGACTTTCGGCCAAGATGGCAGGTCGGAAGGGACAGCGAAATGATGACCAAAGGATATAAACAAACGTTGAAGACAAGAAGAAGGTTAAGTTTTCTATCTCCAATTAATATCTCTACATTACACTTCTCTCTCTCTAACTTGCTCGTCGGAGGGTTTGCTGGGGGACTTCCCGTTCCCCTGTTGAACTTGTGTGCAAGTTCTCTGGTGGGCTTGAACACTCAGTTACCGGTTGAAGAAGCGTGGATTAGTCCGACCCATTCCATCTGGGACCCGTTGTGTAGTAACTGTATCATCACATATCATTTTAAAATCATGGGATCTTCAACTTTGAGAGCCCTAAACATTTTTGTTATTATTAATTTTATATCCTTTGCTTTTTGTGAGATTATTTTTGTCTTTATCATTTTATTATTATTAGTCTAATTTTTTTTTTATGTGAAAAATACCATGTTAATTACATGTAAAATAAATAATTATTATTAATTAGTGAAAAACTTTACAACATTTTTTTTTTTGAAAAAAGTTATAAAACAGTTATATTAGAATATTTTTGTTAAATATCTTGTTTGGTTTTTGTATTCAACATTTTTTATAGTTTTTTTTATCATGTTTTTTCGTATTCAGTGATTTTTTAATATTTTAATTAAATTTTCTTTACTTTTTAAATTTATATGTACTCAAAATTTAAAATATTTGTAAAAAAAGGAGGTAAAAATACACACACACAAAAAAACAAAAGAGCATAAATTTGTAGCAATGTTTCTTTCTATTTCTTTGGGTAATTGTGGCGGAGAAAGGTGGTTGTGATTGTAGGAGAGGGGTGGACTTGGTGGTGGTTGGATAAGGTGTGATCTGTTGGGATGGTTGGGAGTTAATGGCAGATTTAGGGTTCGACATTAATTTGAAAGGGCAAAACATATATAACATATATAACTTATAATTTTTTTTTGAGAAAGAAGAATAAGCGGAGGATTTGGCGTTATTGTAAGTGAGGAAAGAAGAAGAAAGATGGAGAGCGGAAGAGAGAGATGAGGGGTAAAAATGGTCCAAACTTGAGATTTCATGTTTTTGATTTTTTATTTTTGAACTTTCCATCCTAAGTGTAATTGAAAAATATCCTCTATGCTCTTGTTATCAATTTCGATATTTTTGTAATTGGGGTAGAAAAATAAAATAAAAAATTAGTGGGGCCCATACACCAATCAGAATTTGTATAAATTCTATGTTTTAGTCCAATTTGTCTCCAGGGGGCGGTGGTTCGGTTCCAATAGCAAGTAAAGTCAAAGTGCACGTTAGAAAATATCCTCCATTTTGTTTTCCAAAGCATGTCATTACTGTAAAATTGTAAGAAGTACACACACAGGACAAGTACAATACAATACAATACAATATGGCTAATAAGTCAGGGAGATTGTTAGATCTTTTTTTTTTTTTGAACACCCTACTAGTCCCATATTCATTTTATAGTATTTTCTTACTTTGTATTTGATGGACAATGCCCACCTGTGAGATTGGTAATTTTAGTAGTTAAAGCCTACAAAAAAAAAAAAAAAAAAAAAGTAGTTAATTATCACAGGTGTTTAGCCCTTAAAACTTTAAAACTAGACAATTAGTAAATTTTTTTTTTTAATCGGTCACTAAAAAATAACAAGTAGTGATATTTTTTTGTAATGAAACTGTTGCTAAAAACGAATAATTAGTGACATTTTTTTATAAAAACGTCTTTAAAAAAAAGAATATTGTGATAACAATTAAAAGTGAATAGTGCACCAAAAAGTCAAGAAGGCTTATTGGTGCACCCATCTTCCTAATATGACTTTTCATTTCTCAAAAGAAAAAAATGGAATTTACACGTAGGTCTTAATGGATAGACTTATTGTTCAATAGGTCCTGTAAGGATTAATGACATTTTTCATTAAACACTATTTAAAAATGTCACTATTATTAATTTTCAGCGACAGTTTAAAAATTTTGTTACAAAAAATATCACTAATTATAAGTTTAGCGACAACTTAAACAAATCATCACAAAAAAAAATACTAATTTTCAACTTTTAGTGACAGTTTGCAAAATTCGTCACAGAAAAACGTCACTAATTACAAGTTTTAGCGATAATTTATAAAAATCGTTACAAAAAAAATTACTAATTGTCAATTTTTAGTAACATATAAAAAAAATCGTAACAAAAAAAAAAAAAATTTTAAAAACGATTTTATGAAGATTTATTTTTGATAAGATTTGATAAGAACTAAATCTAATTATTAGAACCTATTTCTGAATCATAGCCAACTAGCAAAAAAAATTGAGATGTTCAAAAAATTATGGAAGTGCCATTAGAATAGAGAAATATACCTATGCAAATTGCTGGGACGTATATATGGCAAAATTCATTTTAACCTTTGCAATGGTAAATGGTGTTGGTGTAATAATTATTGTCATTAGTTATTGTGGGAATGCAAAATGCTCCCTGCTATCAGTTCTCTACATGTATATCATAGTACTTGAGTGATTGAGTGAGAGACTTTTGGCCGACAACACAACATGTTGTCCGACTTTAGATGTTTTGGTTTTGCTGCTCATCTCTTTCTCTCTCCCAAGATTAGACTAGATATTGCAAGATTGAGATACTGAGAGTGTCTTTGGCAGACATAACATATTATTATTATTATTGTGTCACTACTAATATATCTCCAACCCAAAATTTTGATCCTTCCGTTATGCTGCTCATCATCCCCTTCACCTCCGACCGTGGTACAAACAAATTCCTCCATTTTCATTTAAGCCATAGGAAAAGAATATACAAACTTACTAATTTTTTACTATTAAACTTATTCACAAAGCAAGTATAATAGTACAAATTGAGACTTGGTAAATGTTGTACATTAGAAATTTTGCATCTATAATGAATTTGATCCACTTAATTTCAATTTTATAAATATTTTTTCTGAACTTATAACAGTATCATTGAAAATGTATCCATAATAATCTTATGCACGATACTCAAAATAAATACAATACTAAATTATCATTCATTTTATTATAATATATGTATTTGTTAGACGTGCGTATACATTTCCAACATATTTGGTTCCACACGCTTGATAGCTAGCCCCCTCCTCCTTTCTCTCTCTCTCCCTATCTATCTATCTATCTATATAATTAATAGCATTGCAACATGCATCTTTTAATTTGATACAAGTCCAAGTACACATGATCTACCTAGTGAGCGGTTTCAACTTTCAGGCAACCTCTTCAATGTGTAAAGATAGATTTAGACACAAACAGTAAAGAGAGACATATATAGATAGATTAAACTAAACAGTGATAGTATAGTATAATATATGATGATGATGATGATGATGTGATTCATCGTCTTCGGCCTCCTGAGCCGGTCTCCCTTTGGCAGTTAAAATAAACAGCGGCGACAGGAGAGCCGAGATTGTAAAGCTCCGCAAAGTCCCGAGTGTTGAAATTCTGACGCCACCCTGGAGCATACACTGTTTGCCTTCCCAACTGTCTAAACAACACCAAAACGAATCGATGGATTCCCATTGATGGCCTCGGACTCTCATAACAAACCACCTCTTGCCCTACATCATCCACCCACCAATATATAAATTTTTGTTTTTTAAAAAAAAAGGTACTCTTATTTATTCTGATCTAGATAATAATATTTTGACAATTTCTTTTGGATGCCGAATGTAAATCAATTTTTGTGAAATAGTCAAAAATCAAATGCTTTTGGGCTCAACATTTTGTGAGTATGTGTTAAAATCTGTTAGCCTTAATTAAAGAAAAATTACTCTCATGTCAACTATGTTCTATTCCAATCTATATAGCTATATATTATTTGATAACAAAATCATATGGTTAAATTTCAATTCAACAAGTAGGGGGGGCAAGGGAGGGATAATGTTTGTATTAAAAAAGGATTGAGGAAAAAGGAATCATGCGCCAAAGGAGAAAGACGTGACCCACCCCCATTCCCACGCCTCCCAATCAAGCTATATATTTCTTCCTCCACTACTTCTATCACATCAAAACTTGAAAGATCATGTCATGTACCATGTGAATGCTGTACAGTAGTTTCTCTAATTAGAATGTAATTTAATAATTATGACGATCGATCATCATCATCATATATATATATATATATGGTCCTCGACCATCTATCTAATTTTTCATGGCATAATAATAATGCTTGATTTTGGTTTTTAGAATTTATTTTTTAGAAAATCTACTTTTTTATTTTTTGTATTATTTTGTTTTCATTGAATTTTTAAAATATTTTAAGCCATATATATATATTTTTTAAATTTTTACACACACCTAATATAAATATACTTAAAAAGTATAATTTTTGTGATTTTTTTTTTAAAATTCACCAAATACCAAAAATATAAAAATTCAATATATTTTGATATTTTTTTGCATTTATTAATTTTTAAAAATATTTTTTTAAAAATATTTTACTTTTTAGATACATCTAAGTAAGATGTATCTAAAAAAAAAATATAATTCTTAAAATTTTAAAAATATTCACTAAAAAAAAATATGAAAAATAAAAAACTCAAATTTCTAAAAAATTGAATTTATAAAACTGATACTAAACACACTGAATATTTTGTGTGTGTGTGGGCGCGCGCGTGTGGAGATGCCATGTTTGATTTTCAAAATGTAGTGATGAGTTGCTATCACAATTATCACAACTTAATCAATTAGTATAATAGAAATTAACAGAGTTTACTCACCAAAGCTTGCTCCAGTGGTTGCTGGGATATCAGTCACCAACCTAGATGTCCAATTGAGAGAAACATATATAAAAAGGTTAGCACTGATAAAATAAGTTAGCACAGCACCAAATGATAATATTATGTACCATAACCTTAATAAATTGCTCAGCTACATTATTTGTGGCCTCAAATTTGCATGGTATGGTGGGATTAGCTGTAACTTCGATTCTTTTATATTATCTGTAACTTTACAGTGATTAATACTTGTAAAATTTTACTTCTTCAACTACATGCATCAAGAGAATGAAATGTGTTTTTATGTGAATCTAAAAGAATTAGATAGCTAGCTAGCCAAGACAACGTGAATTATGAAACATAATTTCCAATGTGAAAAAAAAATCAATTGATTGAGAATAAATTTAACCACAAGACTCAAAAAGCGCTAGCTAGAAAGGATGGGGACTACAATCTTGGCAACCAAAAAAAAAAAAAAAAGAGAATGGGGAACAATTTTGACATTTTGGCAATGAGTGCTTTGCCTCAAATATAAAAGCAATGGTAGAGGGTCACAAAAACAGTGGCTCAAATGGCTCGAAACTGTCAAAACGACGTCGTTTTGGGATTAAAACTTGTCAAAACGACGTCGTTTTGACAATTTTGAGCCATTTGAGTCACTGTTTTTATGGCCCTCAAACATTTTTCCAAATATAAACTAGTGGTATAGTCTCTCTCTATATATATATATATATGTGAGTGTGGATGCCAATGTGAGTCAGTTCAAAACTTTTGGGGAGAAAAAGGAGATGCTTAAAGTGAAATGTTCCCCCCTTAAGTACCCATTTTGCATGCAGGACCACAGATAGATATATCTATGTCCCAGAAACCTTGTAAATCGAAGGTACTTTTTCTTGTGGCCATTTTTTCATGAAAGGCACATGCCATTATCCATCGATCACAAACAATAGCAACAAAAAAAATAAAAATAAATCAAAGTTATTTTTTCCATATATGAACCAAATGATTGATTTAGCTTTGGGATTTGCCGGCTAGCTCCCCATTAATTATCATCAAAAATTCCGTATATCACGGTGCTACTACATTATCACATTTTGTTCATACCATTAGCTTATGTGTTTTTGCCGATCCAAAAAAAATAGCTTATGTGTTTTGGTCAAGCTAGCTAGCTAGCTACTCTTCTTAGACTGACATAGAATGGAAGTGATAAACTCTTCTCTAAGGTAATGTTGATGACAACTAAGCTGACACATCAAATGGTAAAAAAAGATTAAAAAAATATATGATCGTTGCAATATTACGTGGTAGGCAACTTCATTGACAAAACTCAAACGTAAATGTTTAAGAGAGATAGAGAGAGAGGAACTTACCAATGCAAGTATTCCCTTAGGTTTGGGTCACTTGGGCTGGGAGCATCAGGGTCCACCATAACCTGCATTGGAAGGGAGAAATACCAATGAACACAAAGAATTGTAGTCAAAGAAGGGGTTTAGCCAAGAAGAAGATGAAGATATGAAAAACGAGTATTACTATACAAATATAATTTGTTTATAAAAAAATTATAAAGAATGATATATTTCATTTATATTAATTTATTGAAAGTCAAAATGCCCATGAGTATAAAGGCAAAAATATTATTAAAAAAGAAGAAGGAAAAAAGGAAAAAAGAAAGTAGATATATAGTGGGGTTGATAGTAGCACTTACAAGAGTGTAGAAGGTCCTAAGGTCATCACCACCAATGTCAACCCTAGGTTGGATGACAACTTGAGAAGGCCTGAGCTCACAACCATTGGTAACTTCCCTACTGCTGTAGGTCACCCTGAGAGAGATAGACCTTGTAAAGGGGTCCAAAACATCCCCTATAACACGCCCAACAACAAGAGGATCCCTGTCCCGAGGCATCACAAGTGGGAGGAAACTGAGAGATTGAGAGAGAGGGAGAGAGATTAATATGCAACACAACCCAATCTAATCCTACTAATGATCAAAAGGAAAAAATACATATATTGGAGGAGGCTGACTGACTACTTGTTTGTTTATTGCAATGCAAATATTCAAGAAAGACTATGGCTGCCTATTTATATGTACATTTTGTCGTGTCGTGTGGCGGTATCTACCTCCATTATCTTTTATTCCATCAATTAATAGAATCCATTTTTATTTATTTATTTATTTTTAAATTCCCTCCCCTCTTCCCTCTCCCCTCAGATTTTTGGTTTATCCTAGGATTAATATGATGCATGCATGTATACTTGTGTCCTTTTCCCAACTACAGGGTGGATCAAGTGGACGTTGTTTATAAAATTTGAGAATAATTACATATGTTTGATTTTATTTTTAATCATTTTATATGATTGAGTATATGATAAATTATATTTTTATTATTTTTTTAATAATTATTGCAAATAAAAAAATAATTATAAATATCCACGTAAACGAACAATGATACAGAACATTAAAATAAAATAAAAAAGAAAAGAAAGTAAAGAACATGATATGGTTGGGGGAGATTGAATGGAGCAGAGCATCCCACAACACCATTGTATGCCATTACATTAGCATCCGTGTCTGAACAAAAATGTAAAAACTTGAAATGTAAGGGAGATAAAAGGGCATTCCTTTTATAAGTGCTGTCCATCCTGCGGGGTACATGGGATGGGATCGGATGGGATAGGCATATCATGGTCTAGTATATAATTCATTACGTGGCAGAGGCAGAGCCACCTCATCGGTCAAAATCTATATGATCAACAAGTTTGAATATTACTAAGCATGTCAATTGCAACCTGCTTACCCTAACGTATCAGAATCAACATTCTTTTTTTTTCAGCCTACCACTTAAAGCCCGACCCCGTGGCAGAGCAGGAGGAGGAGGATGGAGAGGATGAAGGTGCTGACATTGGTGTCGTGTGGGGAAAGGATAGACACAAACAAGAGAGGGAGGAACAATAAAAATAAAAAATAAAACAAAATGGCACATTTGTTATTTTGAAATCCTTTTTTATTTTTTTTTCAACTTTTGATGTATTCAAACTTATTTTTAGGAAATTTTTAGTTTCAGTGTACACATTTAATGAAATATTATTTTAATAAAAATTATATCTTAAATTAAAATGGTCATAATAGACATTCATTAGCACCCATAATATTAGATGAAAATATTATCTGTATACATCTTTTTTTAAAAAAAAAAAGAAAAACTCAATGTATACCGTTTGAGTAAAAAAAAAAACTAAACCTTGCAAAGCAATACTCTTATAACAACTCTCATATTGCTTTAATCTATAAATTTATACTATATTAGTGATTAAAAAGTTAGTTTTTTAGTGTAGAACTTTTTTTTCTTCTTCTTTCCTTTCTCAATTTTCAGTCGGACAATCAGTGTCAAATGCACCCATAATATTATATGAAAATATTATCTGTATACATCTTTTTTATAAAAAAAAAAAAAAAACTCAATGTATACCGTTTGAGTAAAAAAAAAAACTAACCTTACTTGCAAAGCAATACTCTTATAACAACTCTCATATTGCTTTAATTTATAAATTTATACTATATTAGTGATTAAAAAGTTAGTTTTTTAGTGTAGAACTTTTTTTTCTTCTTCTTTCCTTTCTCAATTTTCAGTCGGACAATCAGTGTCAAATTATTTCATTATATTCGGACATCAACTGCCTAATTATTTTATTATAATATTTTTTTTCGGAACAAATTTGTCGAGCTAACCACTTTTATTCGAAAGTTAAGTTTCAAATTAAATGTATAATTTTGAAAAACCAGTGTTGAAATCTCCAAACCGAAAAACATAAAAAAAAAAGAAAAAAAAAGAGGGTCTTATAGCAATGGAGTGCACAAAGATCTGAAAATGAAAAATGCAATAACAAAATAGTAAATGTAATAAAAAAATAGAAAGATGTCTCATCTTTAACAATATTTTGGAGGATTTTCAATGGTGTTTTTAATGAAGGTTCAATAGGGTCTGCAATGGAAGACTTTATTTTCACTTCACTTCATTTCACACTGTGGTATTAAGAATAATGTTTTGTAGCTCGAAACTTTTCTCCCCAAATCCCCCGAATGCCCAAAACGACGTTGTTTTGGGCATTTTCCTTTTCCTTTTTTTTTTCCTTCCATTTTCCAGTCTGAAACGCAGAGAGAAAGAGGGAGAGAAAGAGAGAAAAAGAACGGAAGAGAGAAAGAGAAGAGAGGTTCGCCGATCGCCGATCGTCGCCCAACCTGGTCCGTCGTCGCAGCCCAGCTCCGTCGCAGCCCAGCCCTGCCGTCGCCTCTGCCCCCTGCCTCCGCCTCCGCCTCCCTCCTCGGCCTCCGCCTTCGCCTCCGCCTCGCCTCCGCCCCCCGCCTCCGCCTCCGCGTCTGCCTAAGCCCCCCTCTGGTTGATGTTGGCCCCTCGTTTCCTTCTTCTTCCTTCTTTTTCTTTCTTCTTCTTTTCAAATTCAGGGGATTCGGGAGAGGGTTTTTTTGAGCTACCAATCAAGATTCGTGGTCTTAAATGGTCTTCACGTGGGTCTATAATAGATCTACAAATCTAGAAGTAGAGTCACTCAACAAGTGTGTAGAAATGAGGGTTGAGTAGTGTGTGTACAATGATTATGAGTGAAGGGTATATAATTATAACTTTTAGTGTGTGGATTGAGAAAAATTAATTAATAATCAAATTAATAAGTGTGTATACTGAGAGAAGATGTACACTGAGTTAATTAAATGTGTGAAAATAGAATTTTTCGACTTTTTCATCTCTTCATACCTCTCCATACCCGTCTTGTAAGACCTAAATTCAAACTCACCTCGTTTCCAAATTTAAACTTTTTCCTCTTTGAGCACCTCAAATAACTCCAACCCTCCTCCACCCATCGCAAACATTCACCCAATTATCCTTTTTTTGCCTTCGCTAATATCATTTATACTCTCTGCCCTTCCCTCTTCGCTACTATTGCCCCCTTTCCTTTCCTTTTCTCTCAAACCCTAATTCTCTCTAGCTTCTCTTTTTCTCTCCTACTTTCTCATCCATCGCTTGTTGCCCAATTTCCTTTCCTCTACACCATCATCAACCCCTATGCTTGTCTCATGAAACCCCTCCTCTCCCCCATAACGTCCAACCAAACCTTAAGCCTTACCTCACTACCTACCACCATCATTAATACAGAGAAAGTGTTGCGAAAGGGAAACAAAAAAGTGGGGGTTGAAAGCAGAAAAGAAAGGAGTTGCGATGCAATAGTTAGATGTAGAGAGGGGTTAGAGGGAGTTGAGGGGGTGACAGAAAGGAATGGCGATGGCGATGGCTAGAAGATAGGAAGATGATGGCTTAGGGTAGGTGTAAAAGAAATAGGGTTTGTAGAGAACTATAGAGTTTTGTCCTTGATGGTGATTTGACTAAGGCATATTGGTATTAAAAAATGGGAGAGGCTTCTTTGTAGTCCTTTGTATGGGCTAGAGTCTACTGTTGGGCCCATAGGGTCCATCACAGATCCTTTTTCGATTATCTAAACTATTTAATGTGTAGAGCTCATCGAGTACTTTATGGCTGTAAAACAACATGTTGATCGGATATTGGTAACCTCTCGATCGGAACACATTTTTGTCAATGGTAAATATGATTTTAAAAATAAATTATTAACAAAAATGTATTCTGATCAATGGGCTACAGTTATCCAATCAATGTTATTTTTTACAGGCATGAAGTATTTAACGAACTTTACACATTGACGGTTCGGATCATCGAAACGGAACCGTAATAAGTCTCATTAAAGAAAAGCCTCTCCCTTGTAATCATTCCAGTTGTAGAGTGGCCAACTAATCTTTTGGAGTGCATTTAGAGGTTTCTTCACTTTTAGCATAGGTGTGTAAAGTGTACTTCTAATTAATTAAATGGTTATTTTTTGATGGTGAGTCTACAAGAACATTTCGTTTATTAAAGCGGAAATTATAAAAAATAAATTTAAAAAAATATTTTTTGAAAAAAATGTTCTTTTATATTTGGTGGTGGTGGAGCGAAGGTAGAGGTGGAGATGAGAGTAGTAAAATTTTAGTTTGAAAAATAATTTTTGCTCTTTAAAAGTAAAAAATATTTTTTGCCTAAATAGTAGAGGTGACAAACCCGACCCAAGCCAATGAACTTCTAATTAATTAAATGGTTATTTTTTGATGGTGAGTCTACAAGAACGTTTCGTTTATTAAAGCGGAAATTATAAAAAATAAATTAAAAAAAATATTTTTTGAAAAAAATATTCTTTTATATTTGGTGGTGGTGAAGCGAAGGTAGAGGTGGAGATGAGAGTAGTGGTGATGGTGTGGTGACATTGATAAAATTTTAGTTTGAAAAATAATTTTTGCTATTTAAAAGTAAAAAATATTTTTTGCCCAAATAGTAGAGGTGACAAACCCGACCCAAGCCAATAAACTCACCAAATTATACCCATTTAAAACCCATATTAACCCGCCCAAATCAGTAAATGGTGCTCATTGTTAACTAAATTAAAATTGGATTTACATGAGTTGGACATGGGTATCTATTTAAGCTCGTCTAAATGAGCACAACTTCTATCACCAATTCTATTTTTTTTAAATAAAAATATTTAAAAAAAGAAAAGAGATGAAGTAACTGGGTTGGTTGGGTTCATTTGTTTGTTCAACCCGTATCAAATTCAACTCAACCCGTTTAATTTCATTAATTAAATGGGCAGATTTTCATTGGATTGCTTTAAATGTACAACTCGTTTTGACCCACTCATATCTATCCATTTGCCACCTCTATCAAATAGGCTTATTTTTCATTGATCATAAAAAAATGTTTCCATTAACTTTCGTTTTCTATTGTACCAAATATCAAAAAATATGAAAAATATTTTTTGCTCAAAGAAATGGAGTGTTAATGTCAAGTGAGACAATATATAAGGTATAAGGTGAATTTTGTCCAAAATCAAATCTCAAAGGCTAATGAAATCGATAATGCTAGACGTCTAAGATGATCATAAAAAAGAGTAAATTAACTTGTTACATAGTAGGTGAGGTTGAATATTGATATAAAAATAGTACTGCAAACAGAAAAG